TCTTCTAGGGTGCCTGAAGTAATCACATTCTCAATATCGTTAGTAATAATGTTATCTATGCAGGATGCTTTACAGCCTGGTTTTTCGTGGGTAACAATAGATATTAACGGACAAAATCCTTTACTGAATAATATTTCTTCATATTTTTGAACATTTTTGTTATCTTTATCATGAAGATCGATATTAAAGTCTCCAGCTAGATAACTAAACTTCGGCATGTGATCAAGAAGGTTAGAAAGTTCAACTAGAGCTTGGGAAATACAGCCACTTGGTGGACGATACAAAACACCTACATTAACAGGTTGATCTTCGTTACTTAATGATAAGACAAGTATTTCTAGATGTTCTGTGACTTGTGATATATTCTCAATTACAGTAGCATTTAATTTATCGTCAACATAAAGGGCTACTCCAGTGCCCTTTTGTTTGTTAGGTGCTGTGTCCTGATAGTAACTATTATAACCGTCGAGCTGAAATAGATTGCTTAATTCTTTTCCAGTGTTGGTTTCAGCTAGGGCTATTACGGAGAATTTTGTTTTGTACCTACAGGTTTCAATGGCAAGGTTGTCAAAATTTGATTTATTTCCATCAATATTTTGAAAGAGAATAGATGATTGTTTCTTTACTTGGTTGCAGAGAATATTTGTAAGGTCAGATGCAGTGTATGAGTTACAATCATTTAAAGTATTTGAGATTTTGGTTGTGTATTCGTCTAGGTTGTTGTCGTCGTCGTCATTGTCAGTGAGTAGTTTAAATGGGTTGTATTTAACCTTGTCTAAATCGATACAACGAGTACAGTAAAACTCATTAGATTGGCTATTTGGATTTGATTTGCGATAGCATTTATGGTGCATTATGCAGTCACAGTGAAAACATTCAACTATTGTTTGGCCGATGACTATGTTCTTAGAACAGACAGGACATACCTCCTTAATGAGGGGAGTCATGGTTGGTAACCATCCACGTGACCCTGACTAGCAGCAGCAGGAACAACAGGACCAGTTTCTCTTCCAGCAGTCGCATCCCTGTAGGATCTATCGTCTACCCTTGTGGACCTCCTCTTCCTTTTGTCGATACCACCGTTAATCCTGAGAAGAACAGTGTTACGAATAAATTGACCTAACTTTGCTAGTCCCCTCCAGTTGAGGTGAAGGAAGTCCGGTTTTTGGTATTTGTTGAGGTCGCGAGAGAGAGAGCGGTCAAGGAGACCATCCCTATCACAGAACTCATCAAATCCATCCACATAACTGACACCAAAATTGGACGGGAGCAGCCTACATCGAATCAAACTGTTAAAGTATATAAGCTTTCTATTTAAATCAGCACGTTTAGAAGGAATTGTTGGACAAACATATACATGCACACCCGGATTAATAGATTGAATCTGGGCAATTTTTGAAACTAGATGGTTGTAGATTATATCAATATCGTTTTGGCTTTTTACATCTGTTTGTTTCAGGTCATTAACCCCACACAATATAACACAGTTTCTATAGCCACAGGACACATAAGGATCAATGCTATCGACAGTTGGGGCAAAGAATCGTTTTCCAGGAAGCCATTTGCCGAATGACTTGGCAGGATCAGAACCGAATTTCAGTCCGCCGGTGTTCGAGTCCCCAATGATACATGTAGCGTTTCTATTCAGGGAACTGACTGATCTCAATGTTATATTGTAGCGCAGCCCAGTTATCTCGCCTGCATCGATACGATGGTGGAACAGTGCTTGGCTACGACGAGTCATTACATATAATGATCCTGGGCCACATAGTTGCTTGTGCTCATCAATACCTGTACTAGCATCAGAGAAAGAAACATGACATGCAGTACCAAGAGAGACTGTAAAGATACTTGACAACAAGCTGGAATGTTTGCTCTCCAAATAAAATAACAAAGTTGAGCATGTTATGAACTCTTTATATTAGAAGATAACAACATCTTTATTTTCTTTGTTTTTTTTTAAATAAGAAAAAAAGGGGGACCCCCAACCCATGTAGCTAAGACACCTCACAGCAAGTAGACCAAAGTAGCTCTTGCTTGTGAAAGGTGTATCAACTACCCGCCGAGGCGGTGGGTTGGGAGTCCCCCCTGGGATCATTTCGTCCGTAAAATTTTACACAATATAAAAGCTACAATAAATTATTTTCTTTGTTTAGTTACAGAAACATGGCTAACTTTTTTTTTTTTCTTTTTTTTTCAAAGCAAAGGGGGGACCCCCAACCCATGTTGTTAAGAAACCTCACAGCAAGTAGACCAAAGTGGCTCTTGCTTGTGAAAGGTGCGTCAACTACCCGCCGAAGCGGTGGGTTGGGCGTCCTGGGATCATTTCGTCCGTAAAATTATATACAACATAAAATAGTACAGTAAAATATCAAAATTTACATAAACAAATCAGGAGACCTCAAAGCTCCTTTTCTGGGGGATGAGGTTGAAGGATATGTCGTGCAGTTCAAAATGCTGGGCCGTTGATCTTCCTCTGATTCCTCTTAGTGCAATGAGAAACATGGCTAAATGATGAGAACAATAACACCACTGCACAAATACACACCAGTATACAGCATACTCTCAAACTATGATAACATTTTTTTCTATTGAACAATAAGAGCCTCATTTTCAATCAAATTCTCGTCAACTGTCAAGTGTCAACTCGGCTGCAGTTTTCTGTCCGTATTTCGTATGGTGCATAATTTTCCTCCCATGCCTCCGTCTTCCTGTCAAATCGGCTATATACGGACCCGTGTGTCGCTGTATTTTGTCAAACCTGTTATCAGTTATGCATATGTTTCCATACTTCAAGCAATTTTATAATTTACTTTAAATCAACTAAAGTCATGTTGAGTTCAACTAATATATTGTATTACTAATACCAAATACTGGTTACTAAACATAAAATTTTTCTAACAGCCAACTTGTAGCGCTATGCACTACTAAGCCGCGCCGCGCATCCAATAATGCTTCTCCTGTTATTCCCACTTAAGCATTTATTGACTGATTATGTTGTTCATATGAGAAAGATAAAAAGACCTTCAATATTTTTAACCATATCTTTCAATTAATATAATAATTGGATTGTCATAATATATTTGGTTTTGTTCAATTCTATCGCTATGCACAAAAATTGTAATATTTACATATTTAAATATTAATTTGATGGACGATAATTGCAATTGTTAAAAGCTAAAATGTAAAATTACTCATGATTTGGAGGACTTCGCCGCTTCGACGCGCCGCGCAAACTAGCATTCTTGCTTCGCATCGATCTCGACGGATTGACATCGTCAATTAAATCAACTCATGATCTGATCTAATAAAACATTAGTACGGTAATATAATAATAAAAAGAAAAAGAAAAAATGTAAAAATTCCAAAAATAGCAAACAAATTTAAATTATGGTCGGAATTATTTCAAAAAGAGAGTTATCTGAAATAATAATGAGAAATTGCATTGTAGATTTTATCATTTTGAAAAAATGATTGGCGGAATATTGTTGATATGTTTCGGCAGAAAAGTGGCATGCAACGTATGTCAAAAATATTGTAGCGCGATGCACTACTGGGCAGCGCCGCGCATCCAATAATGCTTCTTTTGTCATACGTTGTAAGACCCGCCGCGCACGAGTGCGCGGCTCCCCCTGTATCGTTGAAACTCTACAGGGGTTTACTATAGTGAAGCGACAGTGGGGGTCACCACGTGATACAATGCTTCTCGCAACCACACTTATGCAGATCGGCGAAATGCGAAGGATTGACATCGTGAATCAAGGCGGAATATAGTATCAAAAATGTAGCTTAAAATGTTAATATGTCATACAAAAAGTATGAAGTAAGTTTGCAGCCAAAAATTTTTGAGTGTTTATTTTTTTTGTTTATACCAATAAGTTATTTTTTATTTAAATATTTTTTCCGTTTTGATATGAAAAAATCCAAACTTTTTACCTATTATAAAAATATTTTGTTTGATTGAATTATTGATAATTTTATTGTATGTTCAAGTACAAAATCTCATTTAAAATAAGCAAAATCAATAGAAATAGGTAGAATTTTGAGAATTTTTCACTGTGTAACAAACTCCATGAAATGTGTTGTAACTGTATTGAAAACTGGCCACGGGCCTAAATATGACTTATCAATCAATTACAATTCATTAACATTACCAATATTAAAAACTGTTCAAAATATCTAAGAAAGTATTCTCTAGCCAAAGGGCTCAATATTTAAATCTAAATCTTCAATATTGTCTGGTTTATATCGCAACTTGGGGCCTCTGTCCCCCCTTATCGAAATAACTGTTGTCTTTAATACCTCAAAGTCCCCCCAAGATATCTGGTAAAAAGGTCCTGCTAGTTATATATAAAATATATTTATGTTTGCTTTAATTGATACTAAATAAAATTGTTGTTTTCTTGAAATTGTTGTTTTCTTTCAAAGCGCAAGCGCTTTCTAAGATATGTAACTGAGTCTGAATATCGCTGATCAGTTGGAGATTCAATCTTTTGTGCAAGCTTTTTAATCAAGCGTTGCGCTTCGACTCCCATGCCTCCTGTTGTGGAGAAAAGTGAAGGTGTAAAGGAAGCTTTTTCCACTTCTAGGACCCATGTGTTATAACTTAGCTTCAGTATTACACCTAGATGGTATCTTCTATTTTGGGCCTTAAGAGCGAAATTAGTAACTTCCTCATTAATAGTCAGCTGAACATTTATTCAATGAACACTTATTCAGTTATTCGTCGACCTGCTGTACAAAGCTAACCACTTAGTTGAATAAACAACCTTAAGACATTATTATTAAATGTATAGTGATAAGCTATCTTTTACACGATTCTAGCATAGGAACAGGGAGTAATCTTAACTGCTTTATTTAAAAATACGAAATTCATAAGGCAAGATATTTCGGTAGCTATGACCAGCTCCCTATAATTTACAATTTCTATCATCCTTACAATATCAGACGGAGACATTTCTGTTAATTTAAAAATCTTACAAGTCTCACTCTCTAGGTAATGCCAAAAGAAACATGGGCAATCACGTATCAATGGTACCCACTCAACTGTACTCAGTGGAGGATTACTTCTCAGACTTGCAGGAGTTTGAGTTTGTGGAAAAGATGGGCAGCACTCGCTTCCTTAAGATAGCGCGAGCAAAATACAAAGGCGGGTTTGTTGTTGTTAAAGTCTTTCCCAGAGTTGATAAAAACCTCTTGCAGTCGTATCAGGAGAAAGTCAACAACATAAATCTTCAGTTATGTGGTTGTCCGGGAACTTTAGCGTTCCCTAAGGCGCTGATAACCGACCGAAGTGGGATATTGATAAGACAGTTTGTTTGGTCGAATCTGTATGACCGGATAAATCTTAGGCCGTTTTTGTGCCAAGTGGAGAAGCTATGGATAGTCTATCAGATGTTGAGGGCTCTTGAGGAATGTCACTCGAGAGGAGTCGTCCATGGAGATCTGAAGACAGAGAATTTTCTTCTCACCAGTTGGAACTGGGTGATGCTGACAGACTTTGCTTGTTACAAACCGACTGAATTACTTGAGGATAATCCAGCTGCTTACAGTTTTTTCTATGATACATCTCGTAGGAGAAACTGTTATATTTCCCCTGAGAGGTTTAAAAAGCAACTCAACTCAACCGCCTCATGTTTACTTCCTCCAATGGATATTTTCTCCCTTGGTTGCGTCATCGCAGAACTTTTTTTAGAGGGCGGACAGATCTTTAATTTACATCAACTGATATCGTATAGAAATGGAGATTATAACCCCAATAAAACTGTGGATATAATTGAGAACAAAAGTATTGTGAAACTTATAAAATCCATGATATCATTGGATCCTGAGGACCGGTCGACAGCAGCAGCTTATTTAAGTGATACTGGTGAATTCAGTTCCATATTCCCCGCCTACTTCTCGTTCATGTATGATTCCCTTAAAATGTTCTGTAGCCCCATCTTTAACTCATCTGATAAAAAGTTAACGTTTATTTACCAAAACTTTCCAACCTTTCAATCGAAACTACAATACGTAGATGCAGAAAATGGTCACATCATAATACTGTCCCTTGTAACTTCATGTATCCGTGGCATACAGAAAAACTCTGTGAAAGTCAAAGCTCTGCAGCTTCTAGAGGCTTTGTCTCAGTTAACACCAGACGAAATAGTCATTGACAGAGTTGTTCCTCATATTCTTTATTTCTCAACAGACGCAGTCCCAAGTATTCGAGCCAACTGCATTGTCAGCTTGTCAAACTGTCTTAAGAATGTCTCCAGTTTACCAACAACAGATGCCAACATTTTTCCGGAATACATTTTTCCGTATGTCAACAAGTTGTCTACGGATCCTGAGAAGTTGGTTCAAAGAGTGTTTGCAGAAAATATTGGTACATACGCGGAGCATGCTTTGTCTTTCTTAGAGACCAACCCGCCCGCTAGTTTTGATGCAGAGTTGCAAGCTCTTCACAACATCGTGCAAGTACCAGTTGTCCAGTTGCTGACTGGTGAAGATAACGTCGCTAGAAGGATCCTGTTGGAAAAATGTATTACATCGCTGTGTGTATTTTTTGGGCAACAAAAAGCAAACGATCTGATACTCTCCCATATGATAACATTCCTTAATTACAAAAACGATTGGAGGTTAAGAGCTGCGTTCTTCGATTGTGTAGTGGGGGTAGCGGCTTTCGTGGGTTGGCACAGTCTCAATATGCTGAAACCACTGCTCGAACAGGGGTTGACAGATGTTGAGGAATTCGTCATCAGCAAAACCATATCTGCTCTAATAGCACTTTCTGAACTGGGCCTGCTGGAAGAGAATCTCTTAAAAGAGTTAGCGATTGAAACTTCACCTCTGCTTTGTCATCCGAACTTATGGATAAGATACAGGGCTGTTGGATTCATATCAGCTGCTTGCAATAAACTTCACGTGGCAGATGTTTACTGCAAGATACTGCCATTTCTTCACGAGATTCTAGCAATACCAATCAGAAACCCAGATAACCAAAGAGCACTGATCCAGGCTTTGGCTGATCCCTTGCCTCGGCCTGTACTTGACTTCTTAGTTGGTTGTCCTCTGAACGACAAAATCATACTATATTTGTCAGCCACTAACAGATCCCAACCTCCATCGGACCTAAAATCCATCCTTGAAAAGTTGAAGAATCTAGGTATGGGCCTGGATCAAGAGAAGCAGGTGCTTAAGTTGAAGGATTACATCTTGAAAGTCGCTATTGGAAAGAAAAGCAGTCATGAAGATGACCTGTTTGAAGATATTGTCGATGGCACGATTGTAATTGAGGATGATAAGCTCAGAAGCCTTAATTATTTGGATCCCATTATCGATGCCCCTGTGACACCCACCACCAAATCATCTCAAAACAAGCCATCACCTAAATCCGCTGAAATCATACCCGCAAAATCACCCGAAGTTAAACTTGACATAACATCCGAAAACGAGGACCTCCTGGTTGAGATTTCCAAAGATCCGCTCTTTCACAACATCGACCTTAGCGTTGACCTCAAAACACTGACAGAACCTGACGTGGGTGGCCAATTGGACGGTCTGCTGACACGCAAACAAGCCGAGTACCTTCACCAAACTCGAACAGAACGCCAAACCCCACTTCCTTCCAAGAGTTGGGAACCTAAAGGAACCCTGGTGTGCCACATCAGGGAACATAAAGCTGCAATAAATCATGTTAAGGTTGCTCCAAAACATTCCATCTTAGCAACATCCTCGGATGATGGTTGTATTAAGATCTGGAACACGAGGAAGTTTGATAGTCGGAATATTGTGAACAACAGTAGACACACATACTCCCGTCCTGGGCAACCAATCAGAGGTAAATACGAAAACTTAACAGAATTCGCTGGAATCATACATTCCATACCTATTTATTTACTTTATAGTTTACGACTATTATATTGTTTGGCTATTACGATTGTAATATACAACTTTTAATTTATAATCCTTGTTATCCTTGTAATCCTTGTATTCCTTGTAATCCTTGTATTCCTTGTATTCCTAGTATTCCTTGTATTCCTTGTATTCCTTGTAATCCTTATAATCCTTGTAATCCTTGTATTCCGTGTAATCCTTATAATCCTTGTATTCCTTGTAATCCTCGTAATCCTTGTATTCCTTGTATTCCTTGTAATCCTTATAATCCGTGTATTCCGTGTATTCCTTGTATTCCTTGTATTCCTTGTAATCCTTTTAATCCTTGTATTCCTTGTATTCCTTGTAATCCTTGTATTCCTTGTAATCCTTATAATCCGTGTATTCCGTGTATTCCTTGTATTCCTTGTATTCCTTGTATTCTTTGTAATCCTTGTATTCCTTGTATTCCTTGTAATCCTTGTATTCCTTGTATTCCTTGTAATCCTTGTATTCCTTGTAATCCTTGTATTCCTTGTAATCCTTGTAATCTTTGTATTCCTTGTATTCCTTGTAATCCTTGTAATTCTTGTATTCTTTGTAATCCTTGTATTCCTTGTAATCCTTGTATTCCTTGTATTCCTTACATTCCTTGTATGTATTCCTTTTATTCCTTGTATTCCGTGTAATCCTTGTATTCCTTGAGGTATTGCATTCTACGATACGGGGGATAAGATAGCGGTGGCTACAAGGAACGGGTCACTGCATGAGGTTGGGGTGAAGGAACTGAAGGTTTGCGCTGCAAGGAACCTTGCTATTCAGGATGACGATATTGTGGTTGATATGGACACTCTTGGTACAGGTTGGTGGCCGTTGTTGTTTTCTCTCGGGATTTTTCTGGGTATCTGAGAAGCCTTAATAACTAAACTTCAATACCTAATTTTTATCATACAAAGTTTCTCGTTATAAATAAATCATAATTCACCACTGAAGTGTCGTTCTAACCAGGTCAGGACCAGAATCTAGTGGTGTGTACAAATGACGGCAAGATGATTGGTGTGGATCTGCGCTCTCCTTCCAGAATATTCAAGTTGTCTAATGATCCTTCCCTTGGTGGGGTCAGTGCTATGTGTATTGATAAGAACGAGCATTGGATCTGCCTTGGCACCAGGTGAAAACTTTAAAAGAAGCTTGGTGTAGTATTGGGAATTTAGGAATTTAAATGTAACAAATTCTTGGGTTGTCTGATATCATGTGCCAGTTTGATAAGTCTAGTTACAGTTCCATACCTGATAACTAAATTAACTGCTTAAACAATCACACAATAATAACGTGATATATTCTAACACGTGACATCTTCTAACACGTGACACCCTACAACAGGCACGGCTGGATCACGTGTTGGGACCTGAGGTTTCACCTCCCGATAACTTCCTGGAGGCACGACACCTCCGCATGCATTCTCACTCTTAAACCCAGTATTGCCTGCATGAGCTCTATTTGTGTTGGGGTTCAGGGTTATAACGAGGTATGTCAGGAATTTGAAATAAATTAAAAGTTTGTGATCTTGTTTTAGAGTGCATTTTTTCGAGACTATTTTACTTTTAGTTCAACAACAAAGTGGTGCCCTCATGAATAATTTATGATTGGTTTAATGTTTACTTATAATATATAAATAAACTGTATTATATAATACCTTACTCGGGAGTATTATAACCGGGATAAAGTGGTGGGTTTTGGAAGATTCCGCCATATTTTTCCCGGTCAAAAATTTTACCAGTCATAAAAAAACCCGCCGACTCAGATTATGGGGTTCCAAGGGGGTGGTGATCATCATATTTTACCTGAAGTCTCAGATGTGCTAGAGAAGACTTTTGAAGCAGTGGATGGAGGGCTGTAACTTTATTGGCGGTTGCTACCATAATTTCGTTATAAAAATCACAATTTGGTTATAGAAATCAGATTTCAGGGTGGACCGTGATTCTCACTTCTCTTGCCCATGAATCAGTGAATCGTAGAGAAGAAAACAATTTATATGTTATAGAAGAAAACGAAAATAATAATAATATATAATATTTATTATAATAATAATGTCTCTAAAGATTGATCGCTTCTCGTGTGCACTGTGCAGTGCGTAGACTAAATAAAGAGGGAGTTTTACTTTTTCTTGTGGCCACATCCCGCTAGAAGTGAGTAAACTGTGCCACTAGTTCATGGTCCACGGTGGATTGATTACTGGAGCAGTTGAAGATGCAAAGCCCATACGTTCCCCAATACCAAGCGGTGGGCAGGAAATTAAGCTCCGACTGACCTTCAAAGCAGTAGCCCCATTAGCGGACAAAATGAAAGTCTTGTTAAGACAACAATACAACTTCGAATTTGACGGTCAGCAGCAGGGGGATGTCAATAATGATAATGGAGGGGACATTAGCGATAATGAGAATGAGAATACGCTTTAATGAAGATTTGACTTATTATTGCTTAGATTTATTTTCCTTTAAATAGACGTGTCTTTTTTTTCTATTTCTGAGTAATATCAATAACTGTAAATTGAAATAACTTCTTTAACAAGTAACAAAAACAGAAATTTCGGTTGAAAATTTGTTGACCTCTGAAAAAAAAACTTGAAAGGTCGGCCACCGGTAAATACATGACCGGGATAATTTGGCGGGTTTTGGGAAAGTCCGCCATATTTTTCCCGGTCATTAATTTTCCCAGTCATAAATTAACCCGCTATAATATTCAAGTAAGGTATACAATTATAAACAATTGCATACATACAATTGTATATATATATGTACAATAAATTGTATATAATATATTATAAATACAATTCCATCTGAGCTGTTTGACGTTCTGAATCAGAGAATAATAAGCTTAATAAATTGTCAGCTTACTGTTAGTTGTACTATTTAATCATTCAGTGTTATAATATTAACTTAATGTTTAATGATCAGGTGAGTGTATGGAATATCGAGAGTGGAAGCAAGGAAAGATCCCTGTGGTACGGGCCACCTGACTCATACATGACGTCTACCATTACTTCCGGGTAAGAAGTGAAAGTGAAAGCGAAAGTGAATTATTAGAATTCACCCCTCTAGCCCCAGGGTACACGATATCCTACCCCTCTCCCCCACACCATGGTGACACCCCTCAGCTCTAACCACAGGGTACACGCTATCCTACCCCTCTTCCCCACACCATGGTGACACACCTCTAACCCCAGGGTACACGCTATCCTACCCCTCTCCCCCACACCATGGTGATACCCTCTAACCCCAGGGTACACGCTATCCTACCCCTCTCCCCCACACCATGGTGACACCCCTCTAACCCCAGGGTACACGCTATCCTACCCCTCTCCCCCACACCATGGTGACACCCCTCTCACCCCAGGGTACACGCTATCCTACCCCTCTCCCCCCACACCATGGTGACACCCCTCTAACCCCAGGGTACACGCTATCCTACCCCTCTCCCTCACAACATGGTGATACCCTCTAACCCCAGGGTACACTCTATCCTACCCCTCTCCCCCACACCATGGTGACACCCCTCTAACCCCAGGGTACACGCTATCCTACCCCTCTCGCCCCACACCATGGTGACACCCCTCTAACCCCAGGGTACACGATATCTTAACCCTCTCCCCCCACACCATGGTGACACCCCTCTAACCCCAGGGTACACGCTATTCTACCCCTCTCCCCCACATCCTAACCCTCTCCCCCCACACCATGGTGACACCCCTCTAACCCCAGGGTACACGCTATTCTACCCCTCTCCCCCACACCATGGTGACACCCCTCTAACCCCAGGGTACACGATATCCTACCCCTCTCCCCCCACACCATGGTGACACCCCTCTAACCCCAGGGTACACGCTATCCTACCCCTCTCCCCCCACACCATGGTGATACCCTCTAACCCCAGGGTACACGCTACCCTACCCCTCTCCCCAACACCATGGTGACACCCCTCTAACCCCAGAGTACACGATATCCTACCCCTCTCCCCAACACCATGGTGACACCCCTCTAACCCCAGGGTACACGCTATCCTACCCCTCTCGCCCCACACCATGGTGACACCCCTCTAACCCCAGGGTACACGATATCTTAACCCTCTCCCCCCACACCATGGTGACACCCCTCTAACCCCAGGGTACACGCTATTCTACCCCTCTCCCCCACATCCTAACCCTCTCCCCCCACACCATGGTGACACCCCTCTAACCCCAGGGTACACGCTATTCTACCCCTCTCCCCCACACCATGGTGACACCCCTCTAACCCCAGGGTACACGATATCCTACCCCTCTCCCCCCACACCATGGTGACACCCCTCTAACCTCAGGGTACACGCTATCCTACCCCTCTCCCCCCACACCATGGTGACCGGAGGAGCGGACCACAGTTTGCGATTTTGGAACACGCTCAGAGAGTCAGGCTGCTCGGTTGTATCGGCTCCTCCTGAGATCGACTCTACTCAAACATACAGGTGCGGTCCTTATAGCGGTATTGGGCGGTATTTTTAGCGGTATTTAGTGGGGGGGGGGGGGTCCAACCCGATGTCCGATTTGAGGGTTGATGAGGCCAAAATCGGAATCGGAAAAATCGGAAAAATCGGAAAATTGAGAAATTTACAGAATCGATCTCTAAAACCTCTCAGAAGTGATATAATTCAACCAGAACCCCTACATATGCTATATTGTTATGAGAAAACGAACCAATTGGACATTCCAATAGTATGTTTTATGTGTTTTTCCACTGCAGGGGCTAGTATGCTCACTACTAGTTGAAGTTGTCATGTACTCCCAGACCCAGGTGCTTTGGCCTCTTGACGTGAGATCGATTGTTTCTGCTCATTAATTTTATCCCTGTTACTTGTTATTATGTATTAGTACAACACTAGGTACCGGGTTATATTTTGTCATTTTGTGGTCCCGTCTTTAAACATACCATAATATCACTAGTACACTGCACCTTAAATGTATAGTCACGTACATTTGTATCGTAACACATGCTTGGCTGGGGGATCATGTTTTGTGTCCGTTCGGTACCCTATATGTTAAAAACGGACAAAAAGTAGGGCGGACAAAAACAGACAAAAACAGACAAAACATTTAGATGTCCTCCTCCTCCTCCCTAGTCTTCCTCCTCCTTCTCATCAGTCCTCCTCCTCCTCCTCACCCTCCTCCTCAGTCCCCTCCTCCTCCTCAGTCCTACTCCCAGTCCTCCTCCACCTCCTCATTTCTCCTCCTCATCCTCCTCCTCGTTCTCCTCCCCATCAGCCCTCCTCAGTCCTCCTCGTAGTCGTCCTCCTCCTGACTCCTCCTCCTCAGTCATCCTCCTCTTCTTCCTTAGTCCTCCTCTTCTTTCTCCTCCTCATCAGTCCTCATCTTCTGTCCTCCTCATAATCGTCCTCGTCCTCATCCTCTTTCTCACCCTCCTCCTCAGTCCCCTCTGAGTCCTACTCATAGTCGTCCTCCTCCTCCTGACTCCTCCTCCTCCTTCTCCTCTTTCTTCTCCTCCTAATCAGTCCTCCTGCTCAGTCGTCCTCCTCCTCCTCCTCGTCCTTAGTCCTCGTCCTCGTCAGTCTTCCTCCTCAGTCCTCCTCAGTCCTCCTCCTCCTCATCCTCCGCCTCCTCCTCCGCCTCCTCAGTCTCCTCCTCCTCATCCTCCTCCTCAGTCCTCCTCAGTCCTCCTCCTCATCATCCTAATCCTAAGTCCTCCTCCTTCTCCTCCTCATCAGTCCTCATCCTCAGTCCTCCACTAGTCGTCCTCGTCCTCGTCATTAGTCCTCCTCCTCCTGAGTCCTCCTCCTCTTCCTCCTCCTGAGTCCTCCTTTGGAGTCCTCTTTCTCCTCCTCATCATCAGTCCTCCTCCTCTTCTTCAGTTCTCCTCCTGAGTCCTCCTCCTCATCCTCCTCCACCTCCTGAGTCCTCCTCCTCTTCCTCCTCCTGAGTCCTCCTTTGGAGTCCTCTTTCTCCTCCTCATCATCAGTCCTCCTCCTCTTCTTCAGTTCTCCTCCTGAGTCCTCCTCCTTCTCCTCTTCCTTCTCATCTTAATCAGTCCTTTTCCTTAGCCCTCGTTATCATCCTCCTAGTCCTCATCCTTAGTCCTCGTCCTCATCCTCCTCAGTCGTCCTCCTCAGTCTTCCTCCTCCTTCTCCTCATCAGTCCTCCTCCTCCTCAGCCTCATCCTCCTCATCCTCCTCCTTAGTCCTCCTCAGTCCCCAGTCCTCTTCCTACTCGTCAGTCCTCCTCAGCCTCCTCCTCCTCCTCCTCCTCCTCCTCCTTAGTCCTCCTCAGTCCCCAGTCCTCTTCCTACTCGTCAGTCCTCCTCATCCTCCTCCTCCTCCTCAGTCCTTCTCCTCCTCGTCAGTCCTCCTCCTCCTCCTCGGTCCTTCTCGGTCCTTCTCCTCCTCGTCAGTCCTCCCCAGTCCTCCTCCTCTTCAGTTTTCCTCCTTCTCCTCCTCCTCCTCAGTCCTCCTCTTCTTCAGTCCTCATCCTCCTCCTCATCAGTTTACACAATTTATTGTAACTAAAATGTTTTTAAACGCATGTGAGTCTGTAACATATTGACATGTTACTGTTACTGACTCAAAATGTGCTGTAGAATTTTTTTGTTTAACATAGTTTTACTCTCCAGTACTATGGAAAAGTTGTTACATGATAAATAAAGATTTTGATAAATAAAGTGATTTTCATCCCTTTTAATGTTATTAAAAATTGTGTAAACTATTCTTTGTATCTAAGAGATAACTGTGCTACCCATTTCTGCAGATAGCCTGTTACAAATTGTGGAGACAATTTAAATCAAAAGTTACTAAAGCGTTCGCTATTTGTTACGATTGTTATTACCAACCGTACCTCTTTCAATTGTGGACCGGGGTGGATGTTTCTGTCAAACAAGAGTTGGTACGACAGTGTGTTTTTTTTTCGGACGAAACGATTCTTGTTTGGAACAAGAAACTATTTTGGGGTTCTGGGACCACCACCAATCGATTTCTTGTCATATTTAAGTACAGAAATAGCTACCTATATCGCCTAGAAACCTCAGAGGGAAGATTTAAATTTTTTCCGATTTTTCCGATATGAGGGTTGATGAGGCCAAAATCGGGATCGGAATGATCGGATTGGATCGGGTTGGACCCCCCCCCATTTAGTGGATTTTAGCGGTCTTTAGCAGGATTTAGCGGGTTTTTTCTTATATTATTCAGTATGTCCAAGTAGAACACACGGGATTTCACCACACACAGCAGTTATCTCTACCAGTAACATAATATGATTAGGTATCAAATACTAAGCCGTTTGTAAACTGCAGTGTTCTCAATACACCTATCATTGCGTTGCTGCAGCTTTAATTAACACACATTAAGATGTTAGTCATTAACCGTTCCAGTTCAAAATTATCTTTATATTAAGATTACAATAATGCTGTTATCAGCCCCCCTGGCCCCTATCCCCCCGCCCGCGCCTCCCCCCGCCCCCTGGCCCCCGCCCATTTTACATATGTGTTATGACAGGAGAAGATATGAGAAAGAAGTGGAAGTGATTATGGCGGAAGAAGATAACTCGCTCATCTTAAATACCGGGGATAGTAAAGGTACATTATATTTAGATGTTCATATTAAACTAATTAGCTAATTATACGTCAATTAGCCTTAACATTAATGTATCGTGGCAATGTGGTATGCTTGTTCATTCAAAGGAGCCAATAAACTTACAACTACAGGGGGGGGGGGGGCAAAAGTCAGTACCCATACGTTGACCTTAATAGCTCAGTCACTGAGTGCCCAATTGAAATAATTCTTTCTGGTATGACTTACTACCACCACTGGTTCGAGGAATTTGTCAAATCGAAAAATTTTCGTGTTCATCTTTTTCAAATGAAGGTTCATTTTTGCATTTATTTGATAGTTTGGATAGTCGGATCGAGCCAAATTTTATTGAATTGTGTTCGGCCATTTAAATTACGTTTGTCCTGAAAAAATGAGAGTTGTAGCTTCTCAGATGACCGAGATATGAAGCATAACGAGTTTGTTCATTACGTGTGATCAGGTAATTGAGTTGAGGCTAGATCCGCATTATGGGAACGTTCAGAGAGCCCAATTACGGTGTCGTAATTGGGTAATCATTGATTTTGCTAACGAGATAAACAAATTGCTTGACAACTTTGTCATTTTAAATCCGTTTCGCACCATTTTTTCAGATTATATTCCGGATTAAATGACCTATTGCAATAATATGTTACAACGGAGTCTCTAACATGTTCACAAACACGAGTATATGCAATTTAATGTTGATTGGGTGTGCCCCCGAAATTCGAATTTTAAAATTTTGGTGACGGAATCCTCGAACAAGTAAGTACAGTATGCCATCTGCAAAGCAACAACTCTCAAATATAAAACACGGCGGTGACCTATAAGACCCAACGTATGGGTACTGACTTTAGGCCCCCCTCCCCCTCCCTGTATATTGATCAAAATCGTTATCATATATTAATTAACTGGATAAATAAGCTAAATGGTTAATTACCTGATTAGTTACTAATCAATTAACTAATTAACCTCCTCAGGACTAAACAGACCATCACCCGCTCATCATCACGTGATAACAGATGTTAAGTTTGTTAAAACTACACAGCCGTGCCTGGTAACTGGTGACATGGGTGGTGTTATGAAGATTTGGAAATAGGTGATGTGGGTGGTGTTATGAAGATTTGGAAATAAGTGATGTGAGTGGTGTTATGAAGATTTGGAAATAGGTGATGTGGGTGGTGTTATGAAGATTTGGAAATAAGTGATGTGAGTGGTGTTATGAAGATTTGGAAATAGGTGACGTGGGTGGTGTTATGAAGATTTGGAAATAGGTGATGTGGGTGGTGTTATGAAGATTTGGAAATAGGTGACGTGGGTGGTGTTATGAAGATTTGGAAATAGGTGACGTGGGTGGTGTTATGAAGATTTGGAAATAGGTGATGTGGGTGGTGTTATGAAGATTTGGAAATAGGTGATGTGGGTGGTGTTATGAAGATTTGGAAATAGGTGACGTGGGTGGTGTTATGAAGATTTGGAAATAGGTGATGTGGGTGGTGTTTTGAAGATTTGGAAATAGGTGTTTTGAGATTAAGCTGTGAATTGGCAGAATTAAGATGGGTGATGAATTTGAAGAAACTTTGTTTGAAATAGTTTTGTGTTTGGTTACTTTAAAAAAGATTGTTCAGTTCTGTGTTTCAATTAGACGTTCGTTTCCAGATATTATGTTTCGTTAATAGTTATTAATTTTGTAGCTATTTTTTGGCGGTCAATTTTATGTCACGGTTTATATTGTTATAATTTGGGAGTATGGGAACAATTTGTATGCTGGTTTTTGGATTCAAATGTCAATGAGTAGCATTATTATGCCATTTTGTGTGCTGGTTAGTCAATGTTGGTATGATTTTATGAAGTTGACGAATTTGTCGGTAAAAGGATTTTTCCGCGATCAAGCTATCGTCTTTAATTAATAATATACAGGGTGGGCCAAAAGTCAGTACCCATATGTTGGCCTTTATAGCTCAGTCACTGAGTGCCCAATTTTAATACTTCTTTCTGGTATGACTTAGTACCACCACTGGTTCGAGGAATTTGTCAACTCGAAAAATATTCGCGTTCATTTTTTTCAAATGGAGGTTCATTTTTACATTTATTTAATAGTTTGGATAGTCGGATCAAGCTAAATGATATTGAATTGTGTTTGGCCATTCGAATTACGTTTGTCCTGAAAGAATTAGAACTGTAGCTTCTCAGATGACCGAGATATGAAGCATAACGAGTTTATTCATTACGTGTGATCAGGTGATTGGTTTACCTGATCACGTGATAAGGTGCCCCCGTTAACTACCCCGTTAAACATTATGGGAATTGTTATGGGTGCCCAATTAAGGTGTCGTGTCACGGTGTCATGCATAATCACCCAGTCAATATTGTTAACGAGATACAGAAAATGCTTGATAACTTCGTCATTTCTAATCCGTTTTGCCTCATGTTTTCAGATCATATGCAACATTTGATAATCTACCGTTTCTGAAAAAATTAGGCGTTCAGCATGTTCAGAGAAAACAATATAGGTGTTTTAATATTGAATGGGCGTGGTCTAAAATATTCGAATTTTCAAATTTTGACGACGGAATCCTCGAACCAGTAAGTACAGTATGCCGTCTGCAAAGCAACAGCTCTCAAATATAAAACACGGCGGAGCTATTAAGGCCAACGTATGGGTACTGACTTTTGGCCCACCCTGTATTTTGAGACAGTCTTAAGTTATGTTTTAATTATTATGATCGACTGTTATTCTAAATTATTTTTGTTTATTTGTTGATTTCAAATTGAAGCTGTGCTTCTTTAATGTCAATTGACTTTTTGTAACGATTACTTGAAAATCTGAAGTTGACTAAATTTACCCCAATTTGTTTCACTGTTTCCAATAAAATAATCTGAATCAAAACTAAATTTCTGATCATATAAACTATCTCAAACTTAACCATATATTATGACCTCACTTTTGGCGATCCAATTATGCCGCTCTTTTTCACTATTTCATTTTAGATCAAACAAGTTAGCCAAGTGAATTTATACATTGTAGTGTTACTGTCAATGTTATACATTGTACATCTTGTAATTGTGCATACCATTAGTTTAGTCTCTTTTCTTCTTAGCTTATTGAAATTCATGATTAACCCTTCAAGCATATTTTAGCATACATTCTTCAATTATTGTTAACATTTTATTCCTGCTAAAATTCTGTTAAAATTGTTATCAATTTTAAAGATAAGCACTCTATAATTGTTCCATCACAAATCACTCTTCAGGATGAAACTGCACGTTTCTAGTTAGAACTTAAATACACTAAATAAAAAGGAATATCACATCCCCTGTTAAGGTATAATATCTGCTATACGAGATGGAGTTTTGAACATGGTTGATACTTATGGTGAGGTATGTACTTTTATGATGCAAGTAATTGTTCGTGTAATATGATGACACTTTTCTTTATTTTATTTTACCTTTCTTCTCGCGAATTTGCTCGAATGGTGCCCAAGTTTTCCCCAAAAACAACGAGATATTTGGATTTGGGTATGGGAGGAAATGGGGTTGAACCCCCTCTTTGAATATTATGACACCCAAAATAACAAAAATGTATTATTTCCAGCTCTACAGCCCTATTCCTAAAACTATTTAAACTATGTGATTTGATAGCTGTGTCCTCAAATACTGTTTATTGTTCTCAAATACTGTTTATTGTTCTCAAATATTGTTCATTGCAGGAGTCCTGTCCTCACAAGTGTTCAGGATGTGTGACTGATAAAGGTCACATTGCTCTCACCTTCAGTATTCTAGTCGTCTGTGCGGGTAAGTCACTTTAATCACATTAATTACTTTAATTACCCCTTATTTAGGATTGTTATTTACTGGTTATGAAATTGTTATAGATGTGAAGCATGTATTTTTGACGCGTGACATTAAGAGAACTATCAGCTTTCACTTTTGATATTTCTATTGTTTTTCAAATATTATGGTTATACAATCCATGTGTATACATCCTTGTATTAGAGATTATAGTCTCGGGAAGGCGCTCCAGAGACATTTATAGGATTAAATTTAATGTAAAGCTAAAATGTATCCAATGTGATTGTTTGTTGTAATTGGAAAATACTGGTGTGTATTCTTAGATCTCATGCATCAACTATTGTTTCTGTAGACATACATTTTGTGGTTAGGTTTGGCATAAAGATGTCATAATTTTGATAAGACCTGAATTTAAGGTTGATTATATCACTGAAGATAACACCATCTTTTCGGGGTTTTTTTTGACATTTTTATTTGTCACTTTCAACCACAAATTACTTGAAAATAGTCATAATCGTATCTAACTTTCAGGATCTGTGTCAATGTTTGCAGTGAGTTCTGATAACAAACATTCCCAGAGTGCAGGTATTTAATTGGTATTTAATTGGTATTTAATTGGCATTTAATTGGTATTTAATTGGTATTTAATTGGTATTTAATTGGTATTTAATTGGTATTTAATTGGTATTTAATTGGTATTTAATTGGTATTTAATTGGTATTTAATTGGTATTTAATTGGCATTTAATTGGTATTTAATTGGTTTTAATCAGTTTTAATCAGTCCACTTTTAAAGTCACCGTCTTGAGTTCAAAATATCTTTGATTTACATATTAATAAGCTAACAATTCACAAAGTTATTGACTTGCAACTAAGAACTATATGGGTATATGATATATATCTATTTCCAGGTAAATACCTCTTGTCGATAGGTCTGTTCGCCTTCAGTGGAGGCTTTACTAACTGGATAGCCATACAGATGTTATTTTACAAAATTCCTTTAATCTACGGTATGTTTATATCAACTCGTTGTCATGATTTACTAATCGCTTAATTAGTTAAATACTAATCACTTGATTACTTAATTGTTATGATTCACTAATCACTCAATCTCATAGATCGCCTTGTTTAACTTACATTATTGTTCGAAATGCCGCTTAACTTTTCCACTTTTCAAGGGAGTGGTGTCCTAAGGCGAAGATATAAAGCCATAAGGTGTGCGATGAAAGATATGATCCTGGGTACATTCTTCCAGCCGGAGTTTCTCAACAAGTACATTCCACAGGTATAATGGTTGTTACATTCCACAGGTATAATGGTTACATTACTGATGAAAAATCTGCATATTATATAAGATTTTTTAATGGTTGGCTGCCAACTACCACGAATATTTATTTATACATTTACTGCTGCATCACGTGTATGTAGTCGTCAGCTACTCACAGATTTATACCAAAACGCTTTCTCACGCCCTTAATTAATTAATTGAATTAATTAACGACTCAGTGCTCGTGTGTATAACACGTCTTACTATCTTGTGCTTAATCATTAATCATCTGTCAGAAATTGAGGGAGGCAGCAGCTGAAGCAGACGTAGAAAACAAGATAAATCTCTTCCTAAACACAGAAACAGGGCAGAAGATAATTGAGGATAAGATTGATCAGATATCAGCATCACCCGAGGGGCAGCTCGTTGAATCTATGGATATAAACGTTGGGTATGTTGTTGTTGTTGTTGTTGTTGTTGTTGTTGTTGTTGTTGTTGTTGTTGTTGTTGTTGTTGTTGTTGTTGTTGTTGTTGTTGTTGTTGTTGTTGTTGTTGTTGTTGTTGTTGTTGTTGTTGTTGTTGTTGTTGTTGTTGTTGTTGTTGTTGTTGTTGTTGTTGTTGTTGTTGTTGTTGTTGTTGTTGTTGTTGTTGTTGTTGTTGTTGTTGTTGTTGTTGTTGCACGCACTCACGCACTCACGCACTCACGCACTCACGCACTCACGCACTCACGCACTCACGCACGCACTCACGCACTCACGCACGCACGTTGTATATATGACATACGTTGCCTAAATTAATAGTGATATGAAATCGTATGACTGGTGAATGGTGGGCAATTTAAGGTTCTTTTTGAGATGGCTGTCTATCTGAACTTCTTAGGCCTGAAATGTTGTTCAGTAGAAAAACGGGCCAGGCTCCGTCTAAGCATTCAGTTGACTGTTGCTCGAGAATAATACGTTTCACATTAACCTTACAGATGTTTATTGAAAATAAGCTAGGAGGGGGGGGGGGGGGCAAGTTATTTTAGTATTGGTCTCGGTGATAGCTAGTAGTGGTCCTTTGAAGAATATAGAAGATCTAAAATCAACCATATTGCTCCATCCAGTCAGCGCTACTTACACGGTCGGAGCTGTATGTTGGCATATTACTAGTGAATAGTTTTCTTATCGAGTTTGGCACTGACTCAGGGAAATAGTTCATTTTGTGCACGAAACCCAACACGATTGAACAGAAATTCAGATACGATTGTATGAAACTTTGAAACAACTGTAAACGCACTGTACGTGGTAAATGCCGTTTTATTCTATAAATAATACCCATGTACTTGGACATCTTGACTTTTATAGCGGCAATGTGTTTCGATCAGTTTTTCATCTAAGATTCATCTGTTTGTGACAATTGTGGCAATTCGTGGACGATCCCGGAAAACTCAATTTTCTGTAGCGCGCAATACTTTTCATGCTATATCAGCAGCGCAACACGTACGGCCGGCCCGGCGGCCCTTCGATCGATCGATCGATCGATCCAGCCGCGGCGCCTGGGGAGCTAGCTGAGGCACTGATTATTGCGGACTGTTTGGACTGGAGATAGAGTTCATACTTTCATACGACAATGTTATGCGTGTTTTCAAATATTATAGGCGGGTTTATACTTTTGCATACTCAAATAAAATACATACATGTTAATTACTATAAATAAACTTTTTTTCAGTACGTTCAAGCCGTTGATAAAACCAGTAATAGTTTCATTCCTGTCTGACCTTGGGCCGAGCGTGTTAAATCATCTTATAGAACCTGACAATGGAGCACTGAACCTGGACAAGTTACGAGATGAACTCAACAGGTGCAAATTTCATTCTATTATATCGATAAGGAACTTTAAGCTTCCTCACAAATTTTATCTCCTCTGAATTTGTATCCACGATTTTAAACCTATCTCGGATATTCCCGACCCCTGTAATTTACATCAATATGATTGAAAGACCTCGAGGGGCATCGAAACAGGTTAATTAATATCAGTAGTCTTCAAAATAATCATATTCAAAACAATCATAAAACAAAATAATATTGGCTCATAACTAAAAATTGAAATGAATACCTCCCCAGGTACATGTGCGAGCGGATGCTGGAAGTAACTCCACAGATGATCCAGGACATCATGTACACCGTGGTCCTGCAGTACTTGGGCTGGCTGATCGTATGGGGTTGTGTATTTGGGGGTGTTATGGGGGTTATTTGTCAAGCCATTAAACTTACTCCTGACTATGAGAATTGGGCCAACTAGTGTTGCTGTGGGTTTTATTGGTGTTGTTAATGGCCAGGCTTTACACCTCAGACTGTGATAAATGTGCCGAGTGTTTGTTGGTTTTGTTATTAACTGTCAGGCACATTTGCCTAGTGTGAACATTGGGATTTTTCTGCGGGATGAATTTTTCTACGGTTTTTTATGAGGGTTAAATGAGGAGGGGTACCTGTTAAAAGTTCAAGAAACTTCCTAGATATGCCAAAGGATGTATCAGGCTTTACTGTGTGAGGCACTATGTTCCACAGCTTCAGTGCATACTGTAAACATAGTACTATTAACTATTATAAAAACTATCAGTTTCTCAGCATGCGCTAATAATCTGCCCGTGTTTCTCATAGAACAATGCAAAACATCAGTGTCCTCCTTCACTACATGAACATCCCTTCTCGAGTTAACGCCGGTAACTAATCTAGGGAGATAGTGTGTATTAAGATGATCTGTTCTTCAAGTGCTCCTCTTAGACTTCTGGATTGTTAAACCGCATGTTCAATTTTCATGCGGTCATTAAATTAGATCAAAATACATTGGACAATTCGTTGTGTCTCTTAGTTCGTTTCTGTGATGACTTAATTATAAACATGTTTAATATTACTTTTATGTTAATTGATTACTCTTTAATTGTTAATTGGTCTGGGTTTTTAATTTATTATGGATTTGAATTTTTGAATTAATTGTTTCGATTTCGTTATTTGTATGCATAATTTGTTTATGATTATTGATTAAGTGTTTGAAGTATGATCCAGACTCATTGACGTGAGGCTTGTCGGCGTGGAGACTTACAGGGTTAGGGTTAACTTTTTGCCGCCGCCATGAACGAGTCTCACACCAACTAGTCTCACGCCAACTAGTCCTGTTTTTCAGGCACCCGTTTGAAATGAGTTAGTATTATTGGTTATATTGAAGGTGTGTTATATTGATAGGTGTTCCTTCAGAATTTTAGAAATGGGTTTTGATAAGTTTTGTAAGCCAGGTATAATTTGTAACCGAGTGGAAGTTGTTTAATGTAACCATATTCATCATTTCAATAAGAAGTTTTAGATCATGACTCGCTTTTGGTATTTGTAATAGTGAGAATAAAAGTAAAATCACATAGTCAACAGTGAAGCAGCATTACTTGAACTTCATCCTGTACTTATGGTTTAAACGCTTTATTTAAACGGTAATATTTTCTCTTGGCTGGATCGCCAGAGCAATGTTTACGGCTTTTTTTGCCTCAGTAAAATATTGTAGCCATTATAACGGTTGATACTCATAAAATATTTGTTCCAAATATAACTCGTCAACTGTCGACGAGTTCAACTCGGCGCGCGTTTTGGTAGGTTATTAACCTACAATCTAGCCACAGTTCTTAATTGAAAATATACAGCTACCCAGAATAAACACTGAAATATATTCCATAAACGCACACTAACAGATGACTTTCCTGAATTCCTTAACAAGGAACCAGCTAACTCAATAAGTTAATTATCAAAGTCACTTTTCCTCAATATATGTGGTCTCCTCTGAAGTCTGAATATACTTTACCTTTTCCAATGATTACAGTAGTCACTGGGCACGTATATAAACACACTGGTTTTCCGTACAAAGAGGCCAATGTTTGGTTATAGTGTTCATGTAAGTCACATTTACCTAACATAAGTTTTAACCAATGTTACTTGTGAGTAGGTACAATGGGCAAGGACTCTCTACTTATCGAATTTTGGTTTTAGTTGAAAGTTCCTTTCGTCACTCTAGCCATATCCTCGCAATACAATGGCATATTTTATATTTATCGTGTTAGTTATATTCTTTCAATATCCGTGACCTGAACATCAGCTCTGCAACGTTCTCGGTAAAATCCAAATGTCAATCTCAGCTAACTTCGCATGGCTTCCAGTTGGCTTCTATTTGGCTTCCACTTCTGTAAACACCGGCTTCATGCTCAATGAATAGTTAATACCCACTCATACACACTACCCTTCCTCGACCTCAGAGAAGCTTTTGTTAGTCAGTTCTGTGCCTACTTCACCACCAAATACCGACCAAAAGAATGTCCTTTGAGTTTGAGACGTGTATTTACAAAGGACTATATTATCAGATTCTGGGCTGCCCTGCAACTTGCAGTGCAAGTGCAAAGTGGAATTTAGTGCACATATTTCCGTAATAGTCGTGCTGACAAGCGCCTATCAGCGCTGGTAAAGTTGGTCCTCTTGTTCTCTCAGAACCAAACTTTTGTCAGCTCCAAGCTGCTCTCACCTTATTTTCGTCCGGGGAAGGCTGACAGCTTAGATGCCTTGGTTTAACTCGGATAAGGTTGACCGTTAGCACGTATTTACAATTATAAACATGAATATGTTTTTGCTTTAACTTTTAGTTTTTTCCCCGCATTTTTAGCGTTTATGTTAACGTTCAGGACGACCAGCCTTTATCTCTGTGTAAATTTAAGAAACTACCAAAACCTTCATGATAAGACATCCTTTTCAGTTCTTTGACTACTGTTTGTAAAAAGTAACTTTTTAAATCAATTTTGGATTGAAATTATACCATGGTAAAGTCAGCTTATTTAAACACCAGCTAATTGAGCATTAAATAGTGACTAACCAGCTAATTAGCGGTCATTATGATTATGATTATCTCAATTATACGAACATGGGATATTATAGCGGGTAGTTTGTCTTGTAGTTGTGGGTAAGTAACGAATATAGCAGTAATTAAGTTATTCATCGCTACTTGGGTAATCAAATAACACTGACTGGGTAGTGGGTAATTACTGCTTCCGTTATTCTAATTTGCAGGTATAATATTGCTATGGGAAGTGTTACTGTTGGCATGTTGAAACTTGCATGAAATATATTTCAAGTTGCTTTGGTTTTAAATTCACTGAGGATGCATTTTTGTCCTGTTTGAATCCACCAACTGGTAAAGCCAATACATTAAGGGGTATACACCAAAACAGGGGTTTGTGTCGGCTTGATTATGATATCACAATAATTAGCTAAATTATTATATAGCTATATTAAAGGACCAGTTAACTGAAAAAAAAGTTATCCTCATATTTTGACAGATTGTGACAAATAGCAAACTAAGCAACGAGTCGAAATTCCTAAATCTCTAACTGCTCTCTAACGCGTGTAAATAGCGTTTGTATTATTTTGGCGATGACGTCATAAAGTCCCTCTTGCGCGCAGAGTAGCTCGTGAGACTGTATTTTACAGGTAAAAAATGGACATAATACAATCTTTTCCCCCGAATAACTCGAAAAGTAAGTAATTTAGGGTACATGTTGCTTCATAAGTTGTATATAAACATGGCCATTCTGCACAATTTGCATACATTCAAAAACCTTTAGGGCCTTCATAGCCCAATTAACCAGATACCCATAGTTTTGCATGATTTCTGGAACCGAAAATCAGTTTTTCGCCAATAACTGAAAAAGTAAGCACTTTAAGGCATATGTTTGTTCGTAAGTCATATATTAATATGCTAATTGCGGTTCTTTTACATCCTGTCTGAAGACTCCATCACGATCATATCGAAAATGGGCTTAGCACCACGCCCAAAATGGTTTTTGGCGAATTTATCGAAAAGTAAGGATTTTAGGCCATGTGTTGCTCAATAACTCCTATATAAACATGCATATGCGGCTTCGTTCAAGCCTATTTTGAAGTCTCTACGACCTTCAGAAGCAAGGGGTCGGTTACGTTATTGGGTCAATATGGGCGTGACCCTCCTGGGTTTTCTCCACGGTCAAAAAAATGTCTCCAAACGAAAATCATTTAATCATAACTTCGGGAAGGTCTGTGCAAAGTTTCGTGAGTATTAGAACATTTGCAGGTTCATTTCCATAAATGTCCATAAATGACTGGACTACACAACTTTAGAGTTAACTTTAGAGAAACTCATAAGTCATTTATCTCAAATTAAGCTGTTAGTGTCCATGAATCATGATCAACCTCTGGCGACAATGTTTTACGTGAAATGTAAAAATCATGAGTAATATAAAAAAGGTATTTTTAGATTTAAGTGCTAGCTCATAGTTTTAGAATTGTATAGATTAACGTTGGTCATTTAGCCATCTAACAATCGATCGTGCCGTAATATATGGCCAGAGAATAATAGGGTCTTGGAAATTCTATAGTTGTTCAGTGGGTCGATCGACTGAACACGTTTGCACTTGGTATTTAAACTTACCAGTAGTTTATTTATGTTATGCACCGATGATAATGCAATTAGGATAACAACTAGGTAAGCCGGAAGTCTAATTCAAACACACCTCACACCGTACACACCTCCAATCAGTAATTTTACTATTTGGTAGACCGGGTATTTTGGCGGGAATTCTGTTCCCACGGCACTGTTCTGATAGAAGCTACTTCTACTAATGGTCCCAGAGGAACGGCCGTAAAGTAGCCAGACTTCTTGTCTCCTGTACTGGCAGACACTTGCAGATTAAAGTTAGAAATTTCGCTATGCTATAAATATAATTGCTCTCGGAATTGAACAAACTCCTACTTATCTGTATCCTTTCTAAATTCGTTAGAGTTTCATGGACTGGGGAAAAATAATCGGTACAGTCTCCCTGCTTGTGTAATTAAGCAATGAGAACAATCCAAAATTATCACATATGACATAAGTTGTAATAGCAGAAACTTTCTAACCGTACATTCACCCGCCACTGTTCAAGAAACTATATCACTGTTTGAAATCATGACGTGAGCACTGTACATCCAATCAGCTATTCCTTTAGTTAGGATGATAGCCAAAACTATAAGGATTTTGGAGAACTAGGGTAATAGTCATAATTCTAAAATTTGAGTGAGTTACACGTGTTTTATTGACGATGATAAACATTTGTAATGTAAATTACGCTATGCAAGCGCGCACTGAGGGACTTTATGACGTCACGAGGCCACAGCTTATTATTGCAATAACACGCGTTACACGTACGCTAGAGAGTTGGTTCTTTCGGCGATACGATTCTTTACCAGTTTGTCACAGCTGATTTAAATCTTAGCCAAATTGGAGACTACAAATTTTTCAGTTAACTGGTCCTTTAATATATATAACTATATAGCTTCTCATCAAAAAAATAATATTTTTTACGAAAAATGCATTTTAACCAGGAAATGGTCGATTTTAACAGAGGCACATATTAGGTGCGGTAAAAAAATCGAAATTATGCGGTACCGCACCCGACTATAAAGGTAAAATGTGCGGTAAGGTGCGGTAAATTTTAACCAATTATGCGGCAAATGTGCGGCGATTTTTCGAAATTTGTGCGGGAATTGTGCGGTTTTCTTTTGCATTTTCTCAAGGACTTTGGAAATTCTAAACGTATAACCGCCGCTCTTATAAAAATAGGTCTGTTTATGTGTTACTGAGGGTGTAGTTCTTTACTAAGACTATGAT